ATAATTATTGTTATACGTATAATATACTGATAACAAAATTATTGGATTGAACACATTTTGTCGGCGAGCTTCTACTTTATTATCAAGATTTATTATGAATATTGACGTAATCTCTAAAGTTAATAATGTGCTCAATACTTGTTTCCTTCGCCTCATTTATATAGCAGTGTATCAAGACGCAATTTTTAACTCAAATAATGAAATCGTTATAGAAATTTATTACTGGACAAAATAGTTATGGTCATGCAACAATTGCAACACTCTGCAACATAATGAAAACACAATCGCCTCTCATGGAGTGGTCGAGTTGATGAAGTAGATGAGCGCATAAGCCTTTGGTTATGAGTTCGATTTTTCCTACCAACGCTTTTCTTGATCGAGTCTGTCGCACCGAACATACCTAGTGTGGTTTACTTGGCTAGCATGGTTTACAGGCTATTGCGTCAGCCCAAGAGTTTACCAGTGTATACCCGAAATGCAGCGGCTATGGATTCCAATGTCATAAAAAAAAATAAAAACACAATCGCGACAAAAAGTAACACAATATAGACAAAATTGCTTGGAATTTTCTTGTCAAACTCCTGATTCATCGCCATATTTTTCTCTTAACGCGACACTTGTACTTTAATATTGCGCTTATATCAATCTCGATCTTACGTAAATTAGAAAATTTTCCATGCAAATGTAACAATTACCCTTTTGAAAAGTGTACATTCACATTTCAAAATAAGTCAACTATTTACCCTTTCCAACCCCAAAATGGTATCACTACATGATACTTTTTTCCCCAAACGGAAGCACTTAATTCTTCATTAATTTAAATAGCAATTTAGTTCTTGACATTACTATCTAGTAGAATTAATATCATGCCCCCATTTATACGTACAATATTTTATTATGTGAATTGTGATTAAAAATTTAGTGCAACGCTAGAGATGATCTTAAAAGAAATGCTGAGATTTGGTGCTAAGCAAGTACATGTGGATTTTTTGGCAAGAAAGAAATATCAGAAATGAGATGAACATGCTAAATTATTTGCTCCTCCAAGCAAGTTTGTTGTTAGATCCCGTAAATCGCCATGGAAAGTAAAGATCAGTTTCGAAACTATTTTTTCCCCCTTAATCTTCGATTTTTTCATTGGTTTAGAAATCTCAATCTGTATCTCCTTGGCAACCCCCCCCCCACCAACACGCGTGCACACACACGCACACACACACGCAAAAAGGAAAAAAAAATCTGTTTTAAGGAGGAGGAGCTCTCTAGGTTATATTTTTCATATTTGTTTCATAGATTATTCTATTTGAACATAATGGACACCGTAATAGTGTCCATAATGCCCAAGTGGTGCCCCCCTATTGGAGGGGGTGCCGGTGCTTATTTCATATCTCTAATCATCTTTGTACAAAAAAATCCTCAAATTTCAAAAACAAAATCAAGATCATAAAGATAATTTCTCAAAGAGAAATAAATAAAGCATTAGGGATATAACAAAAGATCGATGTAGATATTCCTTGCCCCGTTGGAAATCAAAACGGGTATGGAAACATGATTTATACCTTGAACTTTCCCGACTATTATTTTTTATTATATTCATTAAATTTAAATTCGATTTAAAATAAACAAATAAATAAGTTAATGGGCGATAAATGGAGATATTTAATCCTGTCTTACTTCATTGCCGTCTTTTTGGATTTCAATTCTACATTCCAAATGCTCCTAAACCCATTTCCATGTTATAAATACTCTAATAACCAAATCACAAATTGAAAATAAATTTTAAAAAAATGTGACCAAGCAGGGAGTTATGGACCTTGCTGCAATGACAGAAAAAAAAATGACAGAATGCCTGACCTATGCTCACAACATGGGTGGAGGCCACTTTTTTTTTTTTTTTGAAATTATTTATTCAAGTCGGGCCTGCATGCTATGAGTGGGTGTTAAAGCATCGGTCAGTTCTCTTCTGTCAGTCCAGCTTCTCCTAGGTGTTATAACATAGGCAAAGTTTACCATGTGACATATTACTAATAATTTTGGATTAATAATAATTTTTATAATTAATTGTACATAGTAGTTTTAAAAAGTATAACAAATGGGAAATAATTCCATGAATAATTCTAAATTATTTATTGTATATGATTAAAATTTAAACTTAAATAGGAAATAAAAGTCTTGTACGTGGCAATAAAGACAATGGGGTCACGTGAATCACACGTGGGGCCCCTCTTGCTTGCTTTGAATCTTAATGACATCACCCCGATATACGGACAAAAGTTCATTAGGAGCAGAAATTAAGCCAACCATCTCACGAAAATTTCTAGAAACTGACATCACAATTTGACACGTGTAACCTGCAATGAAACCTAATTCTTAACCAATCAATTATCATGCAGTCAATTCAATAAATTGTACTCCAGTAAAAAGAAACAAGGGGTTAATTTCACATACAGAAATATTTTTTTATTTGTACATTTTTCCAAATATTAAGGAAAATCTTGGAAATTGTTAAAAGTACAATTTCAAAGTGAACCTAATTCTTAACTAAATGCTGTCAACTCAAAATAAGTGGTCTAATGGAATTTGGCAAAAGCTATTTGTACACCATTACTTACACCATGGTATGTTGAGGGAGCCCACATGAATAAAATAATTATGGGTCCTCTCATTGTGAGGGGGCTGTAAGAGTTCTGCTTCTGAGTCAGGCTCAAAAACAAGGTAAAAAACAGGGCATCACCTCAGCCCCCAGATCCCATACATTTTTTTTTCCAGATCCGACGGTCGAGGTGGAAACACCTCGGCACCCTTTTTTTGGCCTGGACAATCAGCACTTTCGAAGTGTACAGCTCTAAGCGCTGTACACGAAGCAAGTCTCGTGAAATTTAGCCCTGGTTTGTTTTCCATTAAATCAACTCTTTTTTCTCAAATATATTTTCAATCACAATTGACACAATAAAATATTGTACGTATAAATTCAAAACCTTTATACTTTTTAACTACTGATTCTTAAAAAAATAAATAAATAATCACTATTTCAATACTCATTTTCTTCAAAAAAAAAAATTCTTTTTAACGGAAGACAATTAGAGGCTTAATTAATTACAAATGGTTCATCTACAAGTGGAAGAGAATACTATTTTTATATTTACACAGTGTATTTTTCCAGATATTGAAGAAAACCTTGGAAATCTTTAAAAGCATAGTAATCAAATTCGACTCGGACGTCGACATGCATTGGTTCAATCAGTGGATCATTGTTAAATTATAGCTTTAATTAAAATGTATTTTTAAAAATAAAAAGACAATGATTTTGCTAGGTTTATATATATATTTATTTCACATTCATTGCAATGGTTCTGCAAATGCCATAGCAATCAAGGTTGTGATATTTCATACTGGAAGCCCGATTTTGAATCTCTATAATTGCAAATTGAATAAAAAATTTCTATGGAAAAATTTGGTAACCAACCAGTTTACATTAAACAGGTTCCAAGCTCCTCTAAACCCGCCCACTTTGGACGGTTCTTGATTGGTACAATCAGTTCTTAGCCGATTTCTTTGCTAGATGGACCAATTAATGCTCCCAGATCGAACCGGCCCATTGCCAGATTCTTAGATTCTCAGATTGAACCGATTGATTCAGTTCGATTTTAATAACTTTGACTACAAATACAAGTTAAATATTCATCTAATCAAGTGTGCACCTAGTACAAATTACGAGATTGATTTGTTAGACAAAAATAATTATTGTTATACGTATAATATACTAATAACAAAATGATTAGATTGAATACATTTTGTTGGCGAGCTTCTACTTTATTATCAAGATTTATTATGAATATTGACGTAATCTCTAAAGTTACTAATGTGCTCAATACTTGTTTCCTTCGCCTCATTTCTATAGCAGTGTATCAAGACGCAATTTTTAACTCAAATAATGAAATCGTTATAGAAATTTATTACCGGACAAAATAGTTATGGTCATGCAACAATTGCAACACTGTGCAAGATAATGAAAACACAATCGCCCCTCATGAGGTGGTTGAGTTGATGAAGTAGGTGAGCGCGGAAGCCTTTGGTTATGAGTTCAATTTTCTCTACCAACACTTTTCTCAATCGAGTCTGTCGCAACAGACTTGCCTAGTGTGGTTTACTTGTCTAGCGTGGTTTACAGGCTATTGCGTCAGCCCAAGAGTTTACCAGTGTGCACCTGAAATGCAGCGGCTATAGATTCCAACGTCATAAAAAAAAATAAAAACACAATCGCTACAAAAAGTAACACAATATAGACAAAATTGCTTGGAATTTTCTTGTCAAACTCCTGATTCGTCACCGTATTTTTCTCTTAATGCGACACTTGTACTTTAATATTGCGCTTATATCAATCTCGATCTTACATAAATTAGAAAATTTTCCATGCATATGTAACAATTACCCTTTTGAAAAGTGTACATTCACATTTCAAAATAAGTCAACTATTTACCCTTTCCAACCCCAAAATGGTATCACTACATGATACTTTTTTCCCCAAGCGGAAGCACTTAATTCTTCATTAATTTAAATAGCAATTTAGTTCTTGACATTACTATCTAGTAGAATTAATATCATGCCCCCATTAAACAGGCTAAAGATATGAGAAGAGAATTTTAAGTATAATTCTATGTACTTATGATTGTTTCCAAAAATCATAACTAATTAAGGGTCTCTTAACATGTCAGCGGTAAGAAATTTTTTATCTTGTCTGTTGACATGGAAAGAGAATTTTAATTATAGTTTATTTATGATTGTTTTTAAGAACTATAACTAATTAAGGTTATTTTACCATGTTAGCGCTGAGAAATTTTTTATCTCTCGTCAGCATTGTACCATAAAGACCGATAATGAGCACGACTAGCGATGAGTAGCAATATTCATGTTAAATGGTGGTGCAGAAAGACTATTTTACCCTCCATGTGATATCACAAATAGCGTGACTCAAAGAAAAAGTACAAAAGCCCGGCCCAAATTCCATCTTGCATGAAAGGTGTAAACATGAAGCTGCCACATAGAGCATTTTGCATGCATAAATCTAATATTATTAAGCCACGCAGGTCTGCACATCCTCGTCACTCTCTTCTCTCTCTATATACCCACCTATATGTATATCCGTCACCTCTCTTCTTCCACGCCCAACTCACTCTACCCTACCCTACCCTACCCTACTCCACACCATCACTCTGTTAGCATTCTTGATTTCAGAATGGGGATCAGTGCTTGTACTGAGTTTCAGCGGCAACAAAAGTTCCACCAGTCGCACCAACTCAATGCCCAGAAGAAAATGCTAAGAGAAATACAAATCCCACCAAGGAAACTCCATCGCCGCCATTTAGCAGCGGCGCAGACGCTTTATCATAACGGTGGTGGTGCCACATACATTTTCATGGATTCTGCCGATCAAAGCTTCCTTTCCAAAAAACGCTTACCTTATAATGATGATGACGATGAGAAGAATCCTTTCACCTCGGACTATTTCAGAATGTACGAGTTCAAGGTTCGTATTTCGATGTCTCGTGCTTATTTATGTTTATATATAATATTAAAAAAAATATTTCGCTCAATCGGTGGTTTGATTTAAAAAAAATAGGTCCGTATGTGCCCGCAAGGTGGTAGCCACGACTGGTCGAGCTGCCCCTACGCGCACCCCGGTGAGAAGGCCCGCCGTCGTGATCCTCAGAAGTATCGTTACACCGGAACTATCTGCTCGGAGTTCCGCAAAGGCCATTGCAGCCGCGGTGAAAGCTGTGAGTTTGCACATGGAATTTTTGAGTCTTGGCTTCATCCAACTCGTTATCGAACCGAGGCTTGCAAAGATGGCCGCTATTGTTGCCGAAGGGTCTGTTTTTTCGCACATACTCCAAGCCAGATTCGCCTTTTGCCGGAGGAATATTCATCTCCGATGAATTCTCCGGTTACTAATGTGAATCACCGCTGCAGCTGCTGCCGTCATTCTAATAATACGATCTTGGCTTCTCATAACTCGACTTTGATGGGCGTTTCGCCGGAGAAAGAAAGGGATTTCCCACTCTTTCCTAGGTACAATGATTCATTTTATTAAACTTATAGAATTTAGATAGTGTCAAATTCAAAAAATTGTCTTCAACAGGTACGAAAGTTCCGAGTACTCCAATCCTCCGGCCGAGCTGAATTCTATTGGGACGAGTTACGCCGATAATCTGACCGATTTACTGAACTCTTTAGAGGCAATAAAAGTCAATGAAAGTTCTTCCTCAGCCAAGAAAGGAAAAGCGCCTATGATTGAACCTGATCTGAAGTGGATCAGTGATCTGTTGGATTCCGTGGATTGAACTAGATTGATATAAATAGTTCTGTATCTAAGATCTGAATATATATACAAATATTGCTCATTGTCTCTGTAAATCTTGAGAGAGAGAGAGAGAGAATTGATTTGCGAGTTTCTCTCTTTCGTATTATGCATGTAATACTTGTAATTTCTTTCAGTAAAGAAGTTTAATTAATTATGGCTTTGCAAATCGTGAATTCCAGCACGTGTTTTAATTATTTAGTTTTTAATAAAATATAATTCTATAAAACATTAAATATTTTAATATATTATATTATAGTTTGTGTATGGTAAAGATTCATATGATGTAGAATAGTATTTGTTTAAATATAATAATGAAATATAAACATATATCTAATTATTGCACTAGCATATAAATATAATCAAGGATGTCAATTAATTTTAAGAAATTTATATATTTTTTAAGTTCGATTGAAATTTTTTGGCTGTTTCTTTATTTATTATTAATTAACAATTTAATCAATGTTTGACAAATGTTCTTCAAGGTTATAAACCGATCAAACTTCAGTTATAACTATACATGTAATAGGACTTATGATTTTTATTCACTTTTTAACCAAACATCTCATGAACCATTATACATGCAAAACACACATTTTTTGTCCTTCGAAATGACAAATCATTTTTAAGTATTAATTAAAAATCTATTTTATTTTTCCAAAATTGTCCCTTTCAATCTCTTCCCATATCGAGGGACTCCTTAAAAAGGATCACTTTGTCGTGGCACTCACCCAATCTATAAAGGGCGTTTGAATCATTATCTTGTTTAACGATTAGTGATGTAAGAGAGAAAACATAACATGAACTCCGCTTTTAGCGGTATTTAATTATCAAGACACGTGCAAAATAGCTTTTTGTTATAACTAAAGGTTGTTGGCGCAAACGAAACATGTACGAAGATATGAAAATACAAAATTCAAGAAAACAAATTTAGTGCTTGTTAATTTATCCATAGATATATAGAAATCTACAATACAAAATAGGGAATATGAATAGACAATTTAATGCAATTAAAAAAAAAAAGATCATGAAAATATCACTACAAGATGCTAAAATGTCCATTAGCCATTTTTTTTATAAACTCGTCATGTATCAGATGCAATCCTAGTACTTTACATGCAATTTCTCAAGTTTTTTTTCCTTTTTAAGCGGGTATATGTTTTCACTTTTCTTCTCTATTGCTCTCTTAAAAAAATCCCATTATATGGTATTTTTTCGTCTAGAAAGTATTTTCGCAATATAGCAATTTGGATTACTAAAAGTACAACATACAAAAATTCATGACTTATTTGGTAAGGTATATTATATAGTACTAGACATTATTAAGTATTGACACGAGGAAAAAAAAAAAAAAAAGGGTTAAAATCTTGTTGATTATAGGATTGAGTCCTGTGAACTACTGATAGATGTTAACTGAGTTTAGATGATATGCATCAAATTTGCACTGTTCAGTTATTGAAGAAGAAATTGTTAACACAAGAAAAGAGGTTTCAATGCATGTTACAAAGTCTTTAAAAATATGATAGATAAATAAGTCTTTTAACACATTTTAATATAATTTTTGGATTAAAACATATGTTAGGGATAAGATATTCTAATTAATGGAAGGTTGATAGAGAAAAGTTAGGGACATAAGTATAAAATTAAATAAAAAAAATTTAGAACATTTAATTCGATTAAAATGGTGTATTTTTAAAAAAATGTGATGAGTAGAATTAAATAACTCATTTAATTTCATATTTTATTTAACCTATCATACAATGTCACCTAAAAATGAATTTCGCTTTTAAAAGTATGAATTGAGGTGTATTCAAAGTTGTCTTTTAGTCTATCCGATGGAATTCAACGACAATTTTTTAGTTCTTATTGATTCACTCATAATTTAAATAAAATAAAAATCGACACACGAAAATTGATGATTCATATAATATATCGAAAATCAACACATGAAAATTTGCACAGTTCAATTATTGAAGAAAAAAAATGTCAACACAAGGGAAGAGGTTTCAATATTTGTTATAAAATCTTTAAAAATATGATACATAAGTAAGTCTTTTAACACATCTTAACAGAATTTTTGGATGAAAACATATATTAGGGATTAGATATCCTAACTAATGGAAGATTGATATAAAAAAGTAAAGGACATAAGTATAAAATTAAATAAAAAATTAGAACATTTAACTCGATTAAAATGGTGTATTTTTAAAAAATATTGATGATCAATATAGCCGTCCTTACTTATTTCGTTTTAAAATGAAGACACAAGTATAAAATTAAATAAAAAATTAGAACATTTATTTCGATTAAAATGGTATATTTATAAAAAATTGTGATGATCAATATAGCCATCCTTACATACATAGTTTTAAAATGAGCAATTTTATTTTGTCAAAAACATCCCTCTTAATCCCCATCCTCTTAATCCCCATTTGGTCCCCTTTTCTAGAAATAAAAACGAGTAGAATATTGTTTTTTGAAAAATGAGTGATTAAAAAAAGAAGGAAACGTTTTCGATTTACGTGTAATATTATTTTATGAAAGATTATATTATTTAAAATAAGAGAGAGAAAAATAAAATATAATAAAATGAAAATTAATGAGGACCAAACGAGGGTTAATCTCTTCCCATATCTTTAAAGGGGTCACTTTCTCGTTACTCATGACACAAACATAACATTTATAAGGGATTTGAAATGATATTTTGTTGAAGGATGCATGTCGAAAAACATACAACATAACATGAATTTCACTTTTAATGATATGAATTGAGGTGTATTTTAGTCTATTTGATGGAATTCAATGACATTTTTTTAATTCTTAATGATTCACTCATAATATTTATAAAAAAAAAAAAAAAAAAGACACATGAAAATTGATGATTCATACGATATATCGAAAATGTGAACTCTTCTAAATAATGAGAATTTGAACAAACAATTAAGGTCATTTCCAACAAATACAGAAGATTTTATTTATAAAATGCAACCAAAGTCCTTATGTTACAAAGAAAGCTTAGAGTTACCATAAATGTTCAAATTACATAACTACCAAATTAAATGAAGTGGTTAACATTTATAGCAAGAAACAGATAAAAGAAAAGCTTACAACGATTGGAATAAAGTCAAGTACCCTTAACCATAATTATTTATAGTCTTTTATAAACTTAAATGAGCTATCCCATTTTACAATTTTTTCAAAAAAATATTTGAAGTCGATGAAACAGGTGACTGCTCTTACAAAGTATATAAATATTGTGGGAATACGTAGTTGAAAATGAGTTTGGGGGGGAAAAAAAAAAAAAAGAGTTCCGAAATAATGATAGACAAAGGGGGCTTAACAATCAATTAAATAACATGATCTTCAGCAACCCGGTATAGGAATAATACAAAACTTATCAATGCAATTCAAAAATAAATAAATAAATGAATAAAAATTAAAGAAGAAAACTTATCAATGCAAGATATTCTACTGTTGGTCACCATACTCCTAGCAGAATTTCATGTTCAGTATGTTCTAAATTAATCAATAAAATTGAACTTTTGTTTTGAATTGGCCACCCCTTCCATGTCCTTTAATTTGACCACGGGAAAAAGAGATGTGAAAGTCCAGTTATGTGTCAGCTAAGCTGCCACGTTAGCTTTTCTATTAATTATACTAACATAAACAAAAATGACCAACTTGAGACAAAGTTTAAGATGTAACTAAGTTGGAAAAAAATTAGATTCTAGGGTCTAAGATGAAATTTCACTAAAAGTTCAAGGACCGCCAGCAATTAAACTAATGCTCGACAAATGTTGGGCGGGGAGGATTGAATAGTATTTGAAATTATAAAAGAAGTTAAAATCTTGTTTCATTATCAAGTTCGCACACAACTGAGTTACTGAGGAAAATAAATGCTAATACAAGAAGAGAGTTTTCAAGATATGCACTGCAACGTTGCATCAAAAAGGCACCAAGACATCCAATCAAACAAAGTGGAAGTCATGAAGGAGAGGCAGTGGAAGTATAGAAAGGTGCAATCCATTTAGACTTACCAAACCACAATTGACAATTCAATATAGGGCTCATTATTGCACTAAAATTTTGAATAAGAACCTCTTGAGAGAGAGAAAAGCTGTTTGGTGGAAGCTATGAACTTCGCTAATAGACTATAGGTATACACTCCATAAGCGTTGATGGTTCTCATGATTTCTGTTTAACCTCAAATACCAAGTTGTTACTCATAAAAGAACACTTCTTCAAGGCAATATAAAGTTTTTCACCTCTTACAACATCTAGGATTTGTCCGACATGCATATTTTCTTTCTTCATAATTTTCTCTGTTATCAATTTTCAAACTACTTCAAACCTAATATCAATATGCCAAGTAGATTATAGCAAGGCACACAACACAAAGCCCAAAATTAGAAAACCTAATTTTCATTTCCAAACACGACTCAAAAAAGAAAAACACCAAAAATGTAAGTGAAATATATTATGCAGATGGAAAACATATCATGTACAACAAGGTCAACCAGTACCAAACGAAGAATGTGAAAAAATCTTAACCCCAAAAGAGCAAATGTTGGATTGTTCTATTAAAGGTAAAAAAAATAGTAAATAACATGAGCATTAAATATTAAATTACTACAATATAGAGGATCTTCCCAAACAGCTGAATATGATATTTTATTTCTTGCATTAACGGTACAGATAAGGGAAATCTCAAGAGATTGCTTCAAAGTAAGATCTTGGACCCGGAGAGGGTGAGACGAAAAGGGGACCAAATTGTCCACTGGGAATCCTATCTAGCCATACACTCAGTATACATTGATGCCCAGACTTTTCAGCACTTCACATAATAGGGATATGCTTACATTGAAATAAAAAATGTCAAGAAAGAAGGAAGAGACATGGCAATACAATAACTGTAAGTTCAAATTTGGCTAAAGAACAAGGAGATAGTGTACCTCCTCTTGAAATCATTGAAGCATGAGGCGTTTTTGATCGAGGTCTGTGGTGGAAGGATCCAACTGGCCTCGACCTACAATAGGAGAAGACCACGTCTGACCTTTGTCTCTCTTTTGCAAGGTTATATGCATTACATCATCCTCTGCAACATATATCCCAAGTTAGTACAAAAATTTTAATGCTTTTTTTTATAGGGAAATTGGACAGTTCGGAAGCTACTCTAACAAAAAATTTAATGCTTTAAAAATTATAAAATTTGCTATTATCATCTCTGTTCAGTACTCATAAAGCCTAAGTTGATCCATTTCATACATCTGTTAACAAACTATCCTCCTGTTTTGTGAACATGTTGGAATTCCTATGTTTATAACCAAACATAAACAAAATTCCCAAAATTTAGCTCATTTCCATCTTCGAAAAGTTATGACTAATGTAGCAGTACTCTTACGCACAAGTAGCCTTTCACTAAACAGACTTTTCTGAATAGCTTTCACTCTCATAGCAAAGCAAGAAGCAATGCTTATCATACGTCATTCTAAAGATAAGGAAGGGGCTAAAGGTGGAACAGGTTAAGTTAAGGTATCAATAGCTTCAACTAAAGAATTAGTCGAAACGGACACTGAAGCTAAATCTGCCCCTTCCGAAATCCATCCTTGATAGCCATCGAAATTTCCTCTAAAATGACCAGCTTCAAGGGTTTTTAAGAAGATGTTCGTGCAACCATCAGGTCCCACGCAAACTAGCTGCCTTGTCACCTTATAAATAAGCATTTCTTCTATTTTTCAATTTTTCACTAGCCCTATTTTAAATTTCAATCACAACCGAAATTTTTAGGTTTAACTCTGACAAATACTTTCACACTTTTTCTCATTCACCCTAAATTCACAATTCATGTGAAAAGTAGCCAACAAAATACAGAAAAAAACAACAATTAATGAACTTCTAATCTAGAATTAATTGTTCCAATGGTCACCGAATTTATATCTATATTGTCAATTGCTCATTGAAATTTAAAATATCAAGTTTTGGCCACTAAACTTTGCAAAACGTTATACATTACTCACTGGCATAACTTCCGCCTCAAACCTCTAACGAAATTTACGACGTGGTTGACGAAATACACATGTGGCATCCATCACACCGTTAAACTTTGAGATAATCGAATTTTGGCTATTGAACTTTGAAAATATCTTTTATTGCTCACAAAACTTTGAGATGGTCGAATTTTGACCACTGAAGTTTGATATAGTCGAACTTTGGCCAATAAACTTTGAAAAGTTGGAAAAATTTTTGAGTTTACGTGTAAAATATTTTATTGTATAAATGTGTGATTAAAAATGAGTATGAAAATTGAAGAGTTTCGTTTTAAAGGGAAATAAACAAGGCTTAATTAAATCCAAATTTATAGTAAGCAATAGATGACGTTTTTTGCCAAAGTTCAACGATATCAAAGTTCAGTGGCCGAAATTCGACCACCTCAAAATTTAGTGAGCAATAGAAGGCATTTTTTCAAAATTTAGTGGCGAAAATTCGATTATCTCAGTCAATTCTTTTAGAGGTTTGAGACGGAAGTTATGTTGAGTAGCTCGTACAATGTTTTCGAAAGTTCAGTAGTTAAAACTCGATATTTTATATTTCAGTGAACAATCGAAGACATAGATATAAATTTAGCGACCATTGGATTACATAAGCACAAAAGAAATTCAGAAAGAAAAATGGAATCGGAAAACTTGCATCAAGATATGGAGGATTTCCTTTAATCACAAGCTGAACATGCTTGGAATCGATCTTACAGTTAAACAGTTTCTTCGGAACATTTGGTGGAAGGGTGATGTACAAATTCACCTCTTCCAGTGTTTGACCCCACTCGAACACCTTCTGGCCTGAAAATATTCAACCCCATCACTACATAATAACATGTTAATTACCCAGATAATTTTCAATCTCATCACTTGTTAATTACAAGTTGATTATCCACATAATTCTCAACCCCATCACTAGGTAATTACATGTTAATTGTCCAGGCATACATAAAAACCAAGGAGGTTAATACCATTGTGGACGAAGCAGTGGCGTTGCTCTGAAGCCAATTTCTCTGCCATTTTTCTCCTTTTTGCATTCGGTCCTCTGAATCGTTATTTGTTTTTTCTCTTAAAGAAAAAAGTAGAAGCAGCTTGAATGTTTGTCTAAGCTTAAAAGATTATTACTCATTAAGTAATTACACCTCATAAGTAATTTTACCCGCTGTGCAATTCTTTTGATTTGCACTTTGCCTAACTAAAATAGATCATATAAGGTAATCTCATTTGAGAATAGAGATTATTTTAGAGTCTAACTTTCGATTTTTCAAATAACGAGTTGTTTCACGTGTTTGATAAACTTAAGAAAAATGGCTATTGAAGAATTTGTACCAACTCATTATTATTTTGATAAGAATAATACTATTCACAATCGCTTATTTCAACTAAATTCATTTAATATTAAAATTACTTATTTTTTTAAAATTAAGTCAATTAATATTCACTAAACAGTAAGGCTGGACATGGTTCGGTTTTAACGAGACCCGATCCGACCCGACTCGAAATTTTCGGGTATTTAGTAAGTGGAACCGTCGGTTCCAAATTTAATTACGGAACCGTTCGGGTTCGGTCCAGTTCGATTCCATTCGGTTCCGTATTATAATTAAATTTTTTAATATATACAAAGTTACGTTAATTTAATTAATGATATATTCTATATTAACTCTTACAAAATAAAGTAGTTCAATCTTATGTGTTTCACGTCTCTCTTTGCTGAATTCTTCATAAATTTGATTATTAAAATCACAAAAAAAGAAAGATAGCGAACTCAAAATAATTAAGGGAGATGTTGTAGAGTTTTAATTCGATTTTCTCTGGTAGAAACGACACTACAGTCGAATAACAGATTTGGATAAAATTGAGGTCAATTTGATTAAGTTGATTTTGAACTGAAAATTAGAAATAGGAAAATCATATTTAGTGGTTTGAACTAAATTAACTAGTTAACAAATTTATTTAGAAAAAATAAAATAATTTTGCTTATTTAAAATAAATTAATTAAAAAAAGTACGTAGATTCGGTTCTTATTCGATTCTTCGGGTCTTGGCCTAGAACCGAAAATCGAACCATACACATCGGTTCTTGATTCAAATACCCGTTCGGATATTTAACTTGAGAAGAATCGTGGGGTTCGGCTCGGGCTCGATCGGTTTGGTTCGGGAGTTTTGTCCAGCCCTACTAAACACTATTATTACTGATTGATAAAAACTAATATAAAAATAAAATAAAAATTATAAAAATACTATATATATAATTAACATGAAATGGCAAAAACTATTAAGTTAATTAATATTAATATATAAAATTTATAAAAATAATTGTCTAATATTGCATATTAAAAGAATAGTAACACATAATCAATTAAAAAAAAAGAAAAAATCTCTTTAACTAACATTCACCTAATAAGTATAAATGAAAAGTCATTTTCTAATAACCCATCAATTATTTAATCTCCAATAATTTACATCAATTTAATAAACTATGAAGCAAAATGTCATTTTTCAATAACATGTGTGAATAGGCAATAAAACATTCGATTTTACATTTTACTTTTACATGTTTATATTTATGATGAACAATATCCTTAATATTCTATTGATTTCTTCTAATTTATATAATTAATAATTATTATTGCTTTCCAAAGTAAGTCAATTAATTTTCACTAAAAACAATTATTACAAATTATTTGTACATAATTAATAAAAACATTATGACGTACAATTAAAAGAAATTACAATAATATTATTTCTATATATAATTAACTTGAAACGACATATTTTATTAAGTTGTTTAATATTAATAAATAGAATTTATAAAAATAAAATAAAATTACTTACACAATTAAAATTTCAAACCTAATAATACATACATATTAAAAATAGTATTGCATTTCTAAAAAATCTATTCAAAATAATAAATTCGATCCATAATTACAATCTTTAAATCCTTTATTAATCAAATACATAATTATGGAATATTTCATAATCAATCATATATATATATATATATATTTTTCTTTGAATTGATATTTTTCGATAAGAGTTTTAAACCAAATGAAAGGGAGTAAACAAGAAAAACTATATGAGAACTTTCTAATCGTTCAAGTCTCAATTATGAATTTGCTATCCATATTCTATCATTCACAAATCACATAATTATTGTGTGTTTACAAATTATTTTCTTTCCTATCTTATTTTCTCTAAGTAATTGTTGATATGTAAGATGTTAGTAACTAATTATCAATTTACTAATAAAAAATATATTATTGTTATGATGATGGGAAATCCAAATGTGGTCTCTTTTGATCGAAACAATAGCCAATCTTTTATATAGGACACAACAACCAATCATAGATTTTTTATTTATAATTTTTGTTTATGATGAACTTTTTCAGTAATGTAAGTTATGTGAAGATTTATTATATTAGATAGTTAGTTTTGGATTTAGCCCCTGTTTGGCCCCCATTACGGGGAAAATTTAATGTATAGAATAGTGTTTTTTGAAAAATGAGTGGTTGAAAAAGAAAGAAAAATTTTCGATTTACGTGTAATATTATTTTATGGAAGATTGTGTGGTTGAAAATAGGAGAGAGAAAAATAGAATGTAATGTAATGTAATTTAATGAAAATCAAACAAGGGCTTATTTTCAACAAAATACTCTATTTTCTAGTCAAAATTTACGTGCATCTAGTTATCCAATTTAATACAAAACTTTTGTTTGTTTGCTCAACTTAAATTTTGTATATTTTGTCTTTGTGATATTCATCGATTAATGGACATGCTTTTTTCTTTATTGTTACAATTGTACAATGTGCGGATATTAGTTTTGAAGAAACGACAATTATAATGTCACACTTTCACTTACAAGGAATTTATCTATGAGTTGTTAAGCATTTTGGTGCTCATTGAAATTTGCCTTTTTTTCCACTTAAATATTGGATAAGAGAAAAAAATATCAAAAATCTAAAATTAGATTCTTCCAAATTTTGAGTGATCATAATCTCATAATTTTTAACACTTAAAATTTTGATTCAATACACATTTCTACAGTATTAGTAGTAAGCACGTGCGTTGCACGTCTTATATACCCAATGAATGATATGCATAATATTTTTAAAGTAAAAAAATTGATAATGTTAAAAGAAAAAATTAAAATTGTTAAAGAATACACATATAAATAAATAAATTTATGAAAATTACGTACATAAAGTGAAAATGTTGAATAAATTGAAATGGACTTTGGTTGGACTCTTATTTTCAACTATTACGATGACATCGACCAATTTTGTGGTACAGACAGACACGAAGAAAAATCAAATTAAAAGTTGTACATTGGATTACGTTTAAAATGTTTACGTATAAGTAAATTAAAGATATTTAAATATATTTCAAATTAAAAAATTACTCATTTTGTCTGTACTACAAACTTTTTTACCTAAAAAATAAAATAAAAAAGTTATCTTATCTAAATATATTTAGAAACAAAAAATTGCACATTAATTACGCTTGTCATATTAATCTATATCATTTATTTTAAATTAGAAACCAAAGTTGCATTCAAAATAAATATCGAAATGAAAAATCTTAAACAAAAGTTTTCATTTTCTTTTGAATGGGATTAACACAAATTGAGAAATAAAAATTCTCCATTTAAATGTACCGAAATAAAAATATTTTTGATTATCATTAATTTTTATGCTTATACAAAAATGAACAGGCAATAATAAATAACCAATATTATATTAATTATTTTTTAGAACACATAATATTATAGTAATACTTAAAAAATTGAATTTAGTGAAAATGTGTAATTGAGATGCAAAGCTTGTATTTAATGTGTGGATACAAATATGGGAAGTGTAAGTAATTCATAATTATTAGCAATAATTAATAAGGTTTTTAAAATTGATGGATAATTTATCCCATCATTGATTCTTTCCCTACTAAATATTGATCACATTTAAGCAATTTTTTTCTTTTCAATTTATTGTCATTTGTATTTAAATAGTTACAATATCAACTATTAATTAATTAAACGTGACATTTATAATTTTTGAGTGAAAATATTGTAATTTATAATATAATTATATAAGTAGATGAATGTTGATTTTAAGTTAAGCTCGGTTATATCAATAATGAATAATAAAATATACATACATGTACGTATAAAATAACATTATAATATATTAAATGTAGTGTTAATGATAGATTAATTTCACGTAGTTTCTCTTTAGATATAGAGTTAATTTTTCATATTGGAGTACTCATAATTTTAAATTAATTAAATTTAATTTAATCACTTAAAATTAAAGCTTGTCTACATATATAATTATATTAAAAATGTAATAAATATTATTTTATATGATAATTAATCTACCATTATATTAATGCAATATTTAATATATTTTATTGTATAATTATAATAAAATCATATCATGTATAGCTTAGATTTTACATGGTAAACTTAATTTAAATAACATAATTTAAGTAATTAAACTTAATTTGATTAATGTTACTCCAATATAAAACAAAAAGTATTACACTTAAGTGGATATTAAGCCCCCGTTTGGCGTCCATTAAATCTCACCAAATTAAATTAATTTTTTTCCCTATATTTTCAACTACACAATCTTTAATAAAATAATATCATACATAAATCGAAAACTTTTCATTCTTTTACAATCATCCATTTTTTTTTAAAAAAAAATATTCTTTCCATTATAATCAAAATTAATGGTGGCCAAACGTGGGGCTAAATGAAGTTAAATTATATTAGATGGTACTATATTAAATATATAAGAGTCAAATCGACATATAGCTAAAAATATGGGATTTTTATTGAGAGCGTTAATTCAATATATTCAACATGAAATTGAAAAATAGATATTGTTAAAGGAACTCAAATGATGGTCCTAAATTCTCATTTTGATATTAAAAAAAATTATTTTAATTTGATTAATAGCATTAATTCAAAAACGGATGTTAAAGGAGGTCAAATGATGTCCCTAAATAACCATTTATAGAAATTATTTTTTTCTTAATTTAATTAATAGCATTACACTTAAGTGGATACTAAATGGTACTATATTAAATATATAAGGGTATAATTGACAT